GGTCCTGCATTTGGACGTTCTGGCTACCCACCTACGCTTGCGCCGCGCCCCCCTCTTCCTGCCACTGGCCTCAGCTCCTGGGACATCTGATCCCAATTTTCCCAGTCAGAGGCAGAGACTTCGGGGAGGTGGGAAAGCCCCAGGTCCCATGCGGATCTGCCCACCACCTCTTAAAGCAGCTGGGATTAAAGACAGTTTGCGAAGCCTGTAATCCCGCGCCTTTGGGAGGCTGAGGTGAGTGGACTGCCTGAGCCCGCAGGTTCAAGACCCGCCTGGGCAACTTGGCAAGAACTCATCTCTACAACAAATCAAAAATTAGCCAGGGGTGGTAGCGCGCGCCTGTAGTTCCAGCTACTCGGAAGGCTGAGGCGGAAGGATCGCCGGAGCCCAGCAGGTCGAGGCTGCGGTGGCCAGGAGAGTGCCACTGCACTCCAGTCTGGGCGACAGAGTGAGACTCCAACTCAAAAAAAAAAAAAAAAAAGACAGTTTGCGAGACACCCGTTGGTCCAGCAGAGCCCGCCCGCTGCCATGTGAGGCCTGGGGGGAGGAGCGGGAGCCCGGCCTCTAATTCCCCAGAACCAGGGACCTCTCCACCCTCTGCAGCCCATCACCCCACAGCCCAAGGGCCCTGGAGAGTGGACCCCAGAGGATCAGTGAAGAGGACGAAGCTGCCGCTAAGGCCCCCCTTTCCTTCCCCAGCCCATACCAGCCCCTACTTGACACCTCAAAAGCTGGTTTCCCCAGCCCGTAACCGCTTCTCCTGTCCTCAAACCCCCAAGGAGGAGGCTACAGGCCCGAGCCTCCACCCCCAGCCCTGACCTCCAAGCTCAGAGACTATTTGCATGGAGACAAAGAAGCAGGTTTGTACCAAGCCAGGGCCTGTGGCAGATCTGGCTCTCTTGGAAAATCCAGTTTACAAAACAAATAATCGAGGGCATAAATATCTGCAACCACAGCAGGCTCACCACACCCACCCAGAAGCTTCAGGAAAGAATTCCTGCCGTTGGCTATTGTGCAAAAGCGGGAGTGCACCTCTACCTTGCCTCAGTCCTGAAGGTGTGATACAAACCCAGGTGTCAGTCCAGCTCCCAGTCTTCCTCCCCCAGGGTGTGTGTCTGGTGCATATCAGGCACCTGTGTTAACTGCATGCGTGGAGCCCAGCTCGCCAGGCAGGCCTGCTGTAAGCTCTAGCCTGTGTTCTCTACCCTGTCTCACCCCCAAACAAGGCCAACACAGAAAGAGAAACAGAAGAGGCCTTTTTGGTCTGACACCGTGGCTCCCAGCACTTTGGGAGGCCAAGGCATGGTCTCCCAAAGGAAGACTGCTTGACCCTAGAAGTAGAGACCAGCCCGGGTAACATAGCAAAACCTTGTCTCTACCAAAAAAACAAACAAACAAAAAACAGCCAGGCATTGTGGTCCCATCTACTTGGGAGGCTGAGGTGGAAGGATCGCCTGAGCCCAAGAAGTTGAGGATGCTGTGAGCTGTGATCATTGTGATCATGCTACTGGGCGACAGAGTGAGACCTCAACTCAAAAAAAAGAAAAAAGAGGCCTTTTCACTGCTCACAGTCACTTTCCAGAACTGCAGTCGCACTCTTGAGAAGCTGCAGGGAAAGACAGCTTGCTCCTCTCTGGACCACCCTCCTGCGAGCGCTCTCACCTCAGAGAGAGCCCAAGATGGGCAGAGAACACAGAGGTCTCCCTGCATACTTGACTTCTACACGCACTCACTGGGTGGGCCCAACTCGCCAGCAATGCGAGTCCTGCACTGAGGGGCTGGTGGTCCGCAAAGCAAGGCAGGAACAGGAAGGGGGAGCCATACCCTGAGAACCCCAGGACTCAGGAACCTGAATGTCACTCAAGGACAGCACCAGAGGCAGGAAGAAAATAGGAGGAAGTGAGGGTGCACACTTGGCCTAGTGCCTGGCACACAGCAGGTGCTCAATAAATACTCTTTGGTCTTTAGTCCAGGGTTCAGCACCCTGGGTAGGAACTGCTAGTCTCAGGTGATCCCTCCGCCTCAACCTCCCAAGTAGCTGCAACTAAAGATGTGCGCCACCACGCCCAGCTAATTTTTTTATTTATTGTAGAGATGCGGTGTCATCACATTGCCCAGGTTGGTCTCGAGCTTTTAGGTTCAGGCAATCCTCTAGCCTCTGCCTTCCAAAGTGTTGGGATTATAGGTGTGAGTCAGTGTGCCCAGGCCTGGGTAGGGATTTTTAGCCCTGGGGAGACCAAGGCTCAGCAGGTACAGAGGACACTCCTTGCGTGTGGGGCCCACATCTGGGTCTTCCTGGGAGTCCCCACATTTGGCTTGCTGGCCCGGACTGCAGGCAGGAGGGGGGAGCGTGATGGGGTCCATCTTCTCCTCCTCCAAGGTCCTCCCCAGGAAACACCCTAGCTGGGCCAAAGGTCAGTGGGGCATGGCAGAGACTGTGGCTATCAAGGGGTGAAAGGAAACAGAGGGGCCAACATGCTTCTTTCAGCTTGAGGTCAGAAGGAAAACAGGGGACCCTCGGCTTAGGCATAGGGCGGGGAACTATATCTTCAGCCTCTCTGGGACCTCCAAGGCCCTGCAGGAGCCTCCACCCCTTTGGCTGCAGCCTCCCCAGAAAGCAGTGAGAAAAGTAAGCAGCAATGACGGCACTAGGCTGAGAAAACACAGAGAAAGTGAGGGCAGACCTCTGATTTTCCTTCAACTCCCAATGCTTACCGAATCCTAGGCTACCACGTCTCAGGAGGCCATGTGGAGTCCCTGCCACCCATGGGACTCAGGCCTCAGCCGGACTCCTGCCTGGAGGGGCGGAGGCTCAGATTCTAGCCTAAAGCGCTCCAGCAGCTGAGGGGTTAACTACCCTGGCTTCTGTGAACCCCACCCCACTCCCCAATGGAGGGAGGAAGTGGCAGAGAATCAGGGTTTGTGTGAGCCCTTAAGAATTCGAGGAATGTCCCATTTCCCTGGGGGGAGGTGGGAGGGGCTGGTGGGGGAAGACGAATGGTGGGGGTTCCTAGAAGAGTCTGGGACGGGGCTGCGACCCTTCCCCTAGCTTAGGCACCCAGTGCCCGGGTTCTTCCAGAAGGGACAACCTTCACGTTGCTTCTTGGGCTTGAGATTTGAGCAAGAAGGCATCTTCCCAGCACCTGGCACAGGTTAGCAGGCAGGCAGCACAAGGCTGCAGAGTGATCAAACTCCCGGGGGCAGCCATCCAAACTGGAGGGTGGGAGAGGATGAGGGAGAGACAGCCATTCTAAGGGGGGGTAACTCCCTAACCCTGTTCAGGCAAGTCCTGAATTTCCCTTCCTGGGTGAACATCGGCTGCAAAGAGCCTTCTGACTGAGAATTAAAAAACAAAAACTGGACTCAAGTCGGATCCTAAATTTATGTGAACACTGTGACATGGCTGCTTATTGCAAGCGACTTGTCCTTCCCAAGCCTCTACCCGAAAGGGGGGCTGTGAGGTCCCAACACTTACTACTCACAGGTCACCGTGAAGATGGAAGGTGGCTGCCCTCTCTGGGACTGCATGGGACTGCAGGGAGGGCCCTGGCTTCACACCTTCTCCCCGCCCCTACCTCAGCAGCCCAGGGGCTTTGGGTCCCAAAGCAGAAGGAACAGAGCCGAGGAGACTACACTCAGTCTCCACTGCTCCCTCACCAGGCAGGGAAGAGATCTGCCTGGGTCAGGCCACATCCCATGTGCTGCTCCCCACACCAAATCCCACTTCTCAAGAAATGAACACCAGAAGGGCTGGAGTCCAGGTTCCAGAAAGTTTCCTTGAAGGGAACACAGAAGGAAGGAGCCCCCAAAGCCTAGGAAGAGCCTGGGCAAGAGATGATAACTGTCAAGCGCTGTGGCTCATGCCTGTAATCCAAGCACTTTGGGAGCTACTTCTAGAAGTAGAAGCAGCTAGGTGCAGTGGCTCACACTTGTAGTCCCAGCACTGTGGGAGGCAGAGGCAAGAGGACTGCCTGAGCTCAGGGGTTTGAGACCAGCCTGAGCAGCATAGCAAGACTTCATCTCTACAATAAATCAAAACATTAGCCAGGTATGGTGGCACATACCTGTGATTCCAGCTACTTGGAAGGCTGAGGGGGAAGGATTACCAGAGCCCAACAGAACAAGATTGTGGTGGCCACGAGCAGTGTGCCACTGCACTCCAGCCTGGGTGACAGTAAGACTCCGACTCAAAAAACAAAAGAAAAAAATAGCCGGGCTCAGTGGCTTACCCTGCAATCCCACGCTTTGGGAGGCTGAGGTGAGCGGATTGCCTGAGCCCGCGGGTTCGAGACCCGCCTGGG